TACTAATTAAAATGGATGAGATATCCGTAAATATTCGTAAATATCCGCAAATATCTATTTATTTTCCGGATATCCGTTTTTCCGGATATCCGTATTTTTTCGAAGCAAAGCAAATACCAAAATTAGATATCCGTAACATTCGAAGCAAATCACAAATACCTTAAAAAACCCGGATATCCGATCCGTGCCCACCCCTAATGTATGCATATCGTAGAGCCGACAAAATTGTTGTGGGACCAGCACATCTTACAAAAGATCACACCATTATCTGGCATCGACACGCGTCCATGTGTGAGACATTGGGTGGTCCATGCGGGTCCAGTAAATCAATCGTTGTTAAAGACTCTCACTGATCTGCTAACCCAATGAGTGTTCAAAACGTTTGGGGCCGACCAAAGTCTCGTGGCTTAACTGTCACTTTCTGAAAACTTTAACACAGATCATTTTAGGTAACAGTAAAAGTGGATCGCCGTGTTAGGGATATGCTCGAACCTGAGTGGCTGCTTCGTTGACTTCTAGTTTATCTCTCGGTTAGATACCTGCCTTAATTAATCAGCTCTCTAACATGTGGGTTATCAACCATGCTTATAAGACTAGTCTATATACCATATCTATATGGAATTATCCGTTATTGTCTGTGTGTTCTGTTCTTCTGACCTTGTCTGTGTTTTCTTTATCTCTGCGTGAAGCTTAAAGGATTTGTATTTGTAGACGTGACTCAAAATCTCAACTAATCATGTCCTTTAGTTGTTGGAAGCTGAACTTTCATTTTGAAATTTGTATGGTATCAGAAACCTATACGTTAAAAGAAATAGTTCTTTTGCATCACAGAAACATTTTTAAAAAATAATCAAGTGAGTACGTAATATAAACGTTAACATGATGTTAAATATTTCAGAAAGGACTAAGAGCGATAACTTACTTATCCACAATTATCGACAAAAGATTGGTTCAATAGAAAAAGTATGAACCAAAAATTAAAACTATCAGAAGAAATAATATAAAACATATTTTTTTAAAAAATTGGGAATCATAACTCACATGTTCATCAAAATAAAAATGTTTAACATAATTTTTCAAATACCAAAATTTACCGTATCCTTATGTTTAAATGTTTTATAGTTATTGAGGAAAAGAAAACTTGTTACTTATGGAGTAATTAATTATGATTTTAATATTTTTAGTTACCGTTTTCAAATTCTTAACTTCAATTTTAAATATTAACATATTAAAAAGTAAATTTAATATAATTTTCTTTATAAAAAATGAAGCATGTTTTGTTGTTACTACAGAAAATGAGAAATAGCTCGAATATTTAAATCTAAAGCAAAAAGTATATGAAAATCGTTATTATTGCAAGTGTGAGTAGACAAAATTACAAATCCCCTTAAAATACTTCAAATGAAAACACAGTCAACGAACCTGTAACAATAATAATCGGAAAATTATAGACTGACAAACTTTCTATAAAACGATATGACCATTGATTCTGTCTCCCTGTCCTAATACTCACACAACTAACAACTATCGATTTGCCCTTTTTTGTTGGTTATGCATTAATCACTATAAGACAAAAATAATACTGTAATAATAACAGCAAGAACCCAAAGATCCATATATCATGTGGAAGCTAAAAGCCACCTCGAAACAAAGAAAACGGATAAGGTGGATTTGACTCTACCACTCCTCCAAACGTCGCCGCTTCTTTGTATATACTCCCCCATCCTCTTCCTCCTCCTCCTCCTCCTCCGCTTACGCTCTCCGTTAACGATGACGACGTAGACGTCGAAGAGTTCGACATCACTGAGTTCGTCACCACACCTGTCTCGTTATAATTACCAAACTGCCCATGCCTCTCCATCGGAACAACCCATCCCATAGAACTCTCCGGCGGCGAAGGAGACGGTGAAACAATCCCAAAGACCCTCCCGTTGTCTTCCTCTTCCTCTGCTTTCACCGTGACGCGGCGCTTCTTCTTGTCGGAGACTTGCTTTGTCCGTTCTTTTTCGAGCATCATCCTAGGTAAGAGGTCGGGATCCTCAACGACCTTGTAGAGAAACGCCATCATCTGCTCGGGCCTCTTCTCCGTGGCCTCGACTCTCTGGTTCATCCTCTGAATCTCTAACTCGAGCTCCCTCTGCTCATCTTTCAACCGTTCGATCTCTTTAACGATCTCACAGTCCTCAAGATCCTGACCATACATCATCCCACGTGCGTGCTTCCTACGCGCTATGTTCTTGAGCAGGTGCTTCTGTCCTCTGAGGAAATGCTCGTTCGCAAACTCCCACCGGTCCGGATCCACTTTTCTAAACCCCTGAATATATATGAAAACATATCAAATTAATATCATCAAGAATTAAGCAAAAGGGTATATATATATTATCAAGAACATATGACTAAGGGAGAGAGTTATTTTAATTACATAGGTGTTGAGCTGACGAACGAAGCTGCTGAAATTGTTATGTTTGAAATAAGCAGGCAAGATGCGTTGAGAGAAGTCGAGAGGGTCGACGACGATGAAGCTGTTGTGTGCAGGTCCCCATGTGATTAGCCAATCGGTCGAAGGGTCGTTGACCATCTGATATGTCTTCACTACGAATGGTGCGATCACGTTTGTGTTCGTGTTATTATTATTATTGTCGTTCTCCATCTCTCTCTCTCTTTTCTCTTTTTCTTTTTAGCTTTATATGTTTGCTATGGGTAAAGAAATTATGGAGGGAGCTTATGGGTTTATATAAACAAAAAATATAGGTAAAGTGAAATGGGTATAGTGCTGGTAAGTGTTGACAGTGAGACATGTGTGACGTGGATTGCTTTTGTGATAACGTGGCAAGTTCGTGTTTTGCTTTTACGGTGTCACGGGCAAGTGTGGGATCCATGCAGGTGCTTCCTCAACGCCTTAGTGTCTTTTACTCTCTTTTTTTGTATACATATTTTCTTTGGTGTGTCAAGTTATTTGATCATATGTTGAATATTACCATCGATTCGCCTATAACAATTTAGATAATTTTGTACGGGGAGTGGCAATTCTTAAAACTACAAAGCATCAATAGATTGTGGTATGGAAGAACATGCCCATTAGGGGTTTTAAGGGAGGGTTCACACGTTTTTCGAGAGGAACAGTGATGAACCCGGCGCGTGTGGATTCGTCGTGGTGAACCCGGTTCGACGGGTTCGCCACGTGTCGGGTTGTGATTCGTCAATTTTTTTTTTTTCGAAAAAGTAAAAAAAAAAAAAAATCAATTTTTTTTTCTATGAACCGCTCCCCATCAGGTTCACTGACGGGGATGCTCTTTCCAAGCTTAGAAAAGTATCGATATTCAAAACAGAGAATATAACAAACTCAGTTTAAAAAAAAAAAAATACATACACATAGAATTATCGTAAAGATTAGATTTGTAGAATTTATGGATGACCAACATCAATCGTCTATTACTTGAAAGCAATTTTCTGCTACTTGGAAAGCTCTCTTTTTATTATGGCTTTTAACAGCCCGTTTTGTGAGATGTAATATCATAGATGATAATATAACAAGTTTTTGGTTTGGTTTTTAGTTACCTATATGGGAATATTGATCAGAGTCTTTAGATCAGCTACCCCTCCAAAATTGGAGTACTATAGAGTCTACCATGGTTTAGGCTTCTGATGTGAATGGCTACTGTCTTTAGATCAGATGCGTGCAGCGGAACAGCTACATCTTTATCTTACTACGGTTCCTCTACATACCTTTATCAACAAAAATTATTGGTGGATTTCTAAGTTTTCACTTATATGGTGATATGTTTTAAAATTCAGAATTTGAAAAACTTTGGTGAGAACCTGCTATTGGAAGTATGAACCTCTTCAAAAGAGATTTTTAGACAATTAGACACTCAGTCAGAGACATTATAAGCTAAAAAAAAGGAACACACAATCATTAACAAATCTAATACTCCCTCCGTTTCAAATTATATGTCATTCTAGAGTAAAATTTTCGTTTTAAAATAAGTGTCGTTTTATAATTTCAATGCAAAATTTATTGATTTTAAATGTTATTCTATTTTTTCATTGGTAAAAAAGTGGTTAGATGTATAGGTAGTTGTGTTTTTATTGTGAAAATATGTAAAATTAATTGTTTTCTTAATATGTGTGCAAAATCATAGAATGACAAATAAATTGAAACGGAGGGAGTAAGACATAAGCTGGCTTTGTGCTGATTTTTATATGATCATCTTATTATCTTCCTAATGCAACATTGGCTGGCACAAACATGAAAATAATGAGATTCAAATTCTCATCATGAAGATTTTCATTTTCCTCAATGTTATTTTTTACAAAACACTGATTTAATACTCTCTCTGACGATTTTAAAATAATTGTATGAGTTATAAACTACTGATCCGGACATGATAAATCACATATCACAAACTTATTGATATATTCTATGCTCTTATGCAATTTTTATCATGACAATACATTGGCTCAATATAATACTCAAAATTCATTCTCTATGACATTGCAAATTTTTGGTTGCTAAACAAAATGAGTTCGACATTCTATTATGTTACCACGCAGATATATATATATATATATATATATATATATATATATATATATATATATATATATATATATATATATATATATATATATATATATATATATATATATATATATATATATATATATATATATATATATATATATATATATATATATATATATATATATATATATATATATATATATATATATATATATATATATATATATATATATAATGTTTAGGACTCATTTGAAAATTTAAATATAGAGTGAGCTGCACTTCTTTTTCGGATGAGCTCTTCCATATATTTGTAAGCAATATTGGGCCGAAGACAGTGGTTTTGTTAAGTGTCGAGGCCCAACAGAAGATCCAAGGAGACAAGATGGGTTCACAGCTAAAGGACAAACAGAGTACCCTGAAACAAGTTGCCAACGGTAAATCGATGCAACATTCATGTGCTAGTACGGTCAACACAGCTCAGCGAATACAGCTATTCAACAGATTTGACTCCCTAGTATGTGACGTGTTGTCTTATCTCTATCGGCTTCATTGTGTATAAGAGCAGAGCGTTGTAGTACATGAATTTCAAGTTGAATAATATTCAATAAAAGTTCATCTTCTCTCTAAGCTTTATTCAAGCTTTTATGGTATCAGAGCGCCATGATAGACGTTCAGGATCCTCTTGCTGTTACTTTCTCTATCGCTCACTGCGTCACCGTGAAACTGTCTGATAAGAATTATCTGTCATGGAAATTTCAGTTCGAACAGTTTCTCAACAGTCAGTCCCTTCTCGGACACATTACCGGAGCTACACCGAGACCAGAGCCTACTCTTACCGTTCGTGTTCAAGACCAGACAACTGAAACTGCTAATCCAGCTTACGCCAAATGGATCCGTACAGACCAGATGGTTATGGCTTGGTTAGTAGGTTCTTTGTCTGAAGACGCTATTAAAGGCATTTATAGCCTTCGCTCTGCTCAGGAGATCTGGTTTCACTTAGCTCAGAGGTACAACCGTGTCACACCCACAAGGAAACTTAATATTTAGAGTAGGATCCAGTCAATGAAGAAGGGTAACAAAACTTTTTCTCAGTATGTATCTGAAATCAAGGCTCTTTCTGACCAACTTGATTCTGTTGGAGCTCCTTTATCCGACCAAGAGAAGATCTACGGGGTGCTTCGTGGTCTTGGACGTGAGTATGAATCAATCGCTACTGTTATCGAGAACACAATGGGTAGCTTCCCAGGTCAAAGTTTCGACGAGGTTGTGTTCAAACTTACAGCTTTTGATGAGAAACTCACTACGTATGAAGCAACCACTGAACCCTCTTCTCAACAAGCTTACTACGTCAACCATGGAGGTTCTTCGTCTAGAGGTCGTGGTCACTATCGAGGTCGTGGTCACTATCGAGGTCGTGGACGTGGCTCCTACTCCACGCAAGGACGTGGCTTTCCTCAACAGCTGAATCAAGGTGGTGGACACGGAAACTCTCAACCTAACAACAGACCAACATGTCAGATCTGCAACAAGTACAGTCATCATGCGCACAAGTGCTACAAATGCTTTGATCACTCATATCAGTCGGATGACTACACCACAGCTCTTGCAACCTTGAGAGTTTCTGAGTCTCATAACGATTGGTATGCTGATTCTGGGGATTCTTCACACATCACCAACTCAGCAGACAACCTTCAGAACTCACAACCTTATCTTGGTGAAGACAGTGTCCTTGTAGGTGATGGTGATTTCCTTCCTATTACTCATGTTGGATCTGCAATTTTGCCGAGTTTGCAAGGTACTATACAGTTGAATGATGTTCTCGCGTGCCCTGATATTGCTAAATCTTTACTCTCGGTATCTAAACTTACCTCTGATTATCCTTGTTCTGTTGAGTTCGATTCTGATGGTGTTGTTGTTAAGGATAAACAGATAAGGCAGTTGTTGACCAAAGGAAGTAGACAAAAAGACCTTTACGTGTTGGAGAACATGAAGTTTGTAGCTTACTACTCCTCCAGGCAGCAAGCTACTGCGGATAATGTTTGGCATATGAGGCTGGGCCATCCTCATCTAAACATCCTCCAACATCTCATGCATAATAAGGCTATTGTAGTTAATAAGACATCTTCTCGTTTGTGTGAAGCTTGTCAGATGGGAAAGATCTCTAAGCTTCCCTTTCCTTCTTCTACTTTTGTATCAAAGAGACCCCTAGAACGTATTCATTGTGATTTATGGGGACCCTCTCCAATTGTATCAACTCAAGGTTTTCGATATTATGCAATCTTTGTCGATCATTTTTCAAGATACACTTGGCTCTTTCCTTTGAAGTTGAAGTCAGATTTTCACACTGTATTCTTGCGTTTCCAAAGCTTGGTTGAAACTCAACTTGAACAGAAGATACAATCCTTTCAATCTGGCAGAGGGGGTGAGTTCTTAAGCAGTTCTCTTCTCAACCATTTGCAAAGGTGTGGGATCAAACACATGATGTCATGTCCCCATACACCGGAACAGAACGGGTTAGCAGAACGTAAACATCGTCATATCATTGAGCTTGGACTTGATATGATGTTTCAGAGTAAGGTGCCACATCAACTTTGGCTCGAGGCATTCTTCACTGCATACCTTGGAAATCTTCTTCCCTCCTCTGCTTTACTTGAGCAAAAGAGTCCGTATGAGATCCTTGTCGGAAGACAACCAATGTATACTTCACTTCGTGTTTTCGGTTGCAGCTATTTTCCTATGCTCAGACATTACCAACAGAACAAGTTCGACCCGAAATCCCTGCATTGTGTCTTCATTGGCTACAGTGAGAAGCACAAAGGATACCGTTGTCTGCATCCTCCCTCCGGCAGAGTTTATATCAGTCGACATGTTTTGTTTGAGGAAAAAAAATTTCCTTATGTGACAGAGTATCAGTCCTTTCAAACAAGTACAAACACTCCTCTGCTTTCTGCGTGGCAGTCAAGTTTCTTAAAACCTCAGCCAGAGGCTGAATCTGATGATATCATTGTTGAGGAAACACCAGTACAAGTTCATCATGCCACTCCGGTTTCCCCTGTTGCGTCTGTGGACCCAAACATACTCAACAATGATGAATTTCCTCCTTTACCTTCCCCTGCAGTGTCTCAGACGTCTTTTGTTGCCTCTCCTCCACCAGCACCAGCTGTTGTCTCGACTCACTCTATGATCACCAGAGGAAAGGAAGGTATTAGAAAACCTAACCCTCGTTATGTCTTGTTCACTGTAAAGACAAACTATCCTACTTCCAAGTCTACTGCTGCTGCTTTAAAAGATGAACATTGGTATAAATCAATGCAACATGAGATGAACAATTTTGATGTCACTCATACTTGGGATGTAGTGCCTCCTGATCCTACTATTTCTCCTTTGTCATGTCACTGGGTCCATAAAATCAAGCTAAATGCAGATGGCACGGAAAACAAATTGAAATCTCGTTTAGTTGCAAATGGAAACAGTCAAGAAGAAGGAGTTGATTTTGTGGAAACTTACATTCTGGT